CTAAGAGCTTGAGAGCAGCTCCGCCTCCAGGGGGCGCCCGCACCCACGGCCCCGCTGCCAGCTTGTTCCGCGGAGTCCAGCTGCTTTTGACGTTCGGCTCCACCAGAGCGCGGATAAGTGTCTGTAAGGTTTAGGGTTCAGAGTCAGATCCCAGCGGGAACCCAGCCCGCCCCTGGCCACGCCTAATCCGCAGCTAATGACTTCTGTCGGCTCGGTCAGCGTGGCCTGAGTCCTTCTGGTGGGAAAATGCGGGATGGTGGGAAGAAATGCGATGTGGAACCCAAGGAGTTCTGTGTCTCAGCTTGGCCCCAGAGACCACGATCCAGAGATGGGCGGGGCCTTAGAAATAGGGTCACCGACAAGGGGTCAGAGACAAGTACCAGAAGCAGGTGAAGGGTCAAGGAGCCCCGGAGAGGCAAGCGCGAAAGCAGTAATGTAATAAGGAACTCCGGCGGAGGCCCAAGGCAGGAGGATCAACGGCGGCTCCAAGGAAAGAAGTGGGTCAGAGGGTCCTGAATGCGCTAAGTCCGGGTCACTGGAACTCACAAGAAAGGGCACCGGAAGGAGGGCGAGGGCCCAAGAAGCAAAGGGGCGCGGTACAGGGGCCAGACATCCCTATCGGCATCCTGGAGCCCCAGTTGTGCCACAAGAGCCAGATGTGCAGCCCAGCTGTGCGGCCTTCGAGCTCGAGCTCCAGGAGTGATTTTTAGTCCCAGAGACTGGAGGGCTAAGGGGCACAGGTGACAGGACACCCCAGCCCCTGACCCAGCCCTGGAGGTGCGGGTGCTCAGGGAGGGCCGGGCTCTGCGCTGCTCCAGGCTCTGACAGCCCGTCAGTCGCCCTCCCCCGTCCCCCACACACGTAAGCACTGAGTCTCTGTCTCTTTGTTCTCGCCGTGTCTCTGACACTTATCTCATTATCCGCCGGAGGGAGGCGGAGAGCTCGGGACGCCGCAGCCTAATTACAGCCGCGCTTGTCAGAGCAGGAGGCTGGGGAGGTATCAGCTCGGGGCGAAAGCAGGAGGGCCCCCAGAAAGGGACTTCTCCCTCTCGGTGCTCTGAGGGGCACAGCGGTGGGTGCACAGCTCGCCCCTGCCTGGGCACCACGAGGCTCTGGAGGGGAGAAGTGAGAGAGCTCTGTAGGATGGGCTGCCAGGGCAGCAGAGGGGGAGGCAGGGAGGATGGAGGTTAGCGTGGAGTGGGGAGAGGTGGTTAGGGCTCCGCTCCTGGGTCCCTAGGACCCCAGTTTCCCGAAGACAGTGGCAGTGAGCTTTCCCACCTGACAACATAGCATACATGTGAGTTCATACACCCCAGTTGGTCGCGTAAAGGGAGGCAATCGCTCTACGACGCTTCTGTCTCTGTGTCTTTTTCTCTTTTCTCCTTCAACATCTTTTCTATCTTTCCTCAGCTGTTTCATTTACTCCATTCTCTTTCTCTCCATCACAGCCAGAGACAGAACGTGGCCTCCTGGGATGGCTAACCCAGGTAGGCAGGGGAAGGAAGTCTCTCAAGCCCCCAAACTTAACCAACTGATTTATTCTATTCTGAGTCAGGTGTAAGATAATGCCGGGCTTCCCTGGCCTCCAAACACTGTTCCAGGCTAATCACAACACAACTTGGAGAAACCAACTTGAAGAAACCACCCAGGACTAGAGTGGCTGGGGCAGCTTTAGTGATGTTGGTCCATCTGACCCCCTCCTGTTCCCACTATACTGTGGAGGGAGACAGAACCAGGGCCCCCAAGACCTGCCAGCTCCTGGGTGGCTCTAGGGGTGTCAGGGAGGCATTAAAGATGTCCTCATTCTTTCCTGGCCCCTCCTGGTCCCACCTGTGAACACTCTCACCTGCACTTTGCTGGAGGTCTGTCTGCCTGTCCCATGGTGAGTCCTTCCTCCCACTTCTGGATCCTCCTCAGTCTATGAGTCAGAGTCTGAGAGGCCTCTCCCTTGGACCAGCCCAAAGCCCAAAGCATGATGATGTCTCATGGGCCAGGGTCTGACCCCTTGGAGTGGAGAATGGATGAGCAGAAATGCCCCTGTTCCCCAACAATTCTCTTCCCAGCCGAGCCTGGAACTGCCGTAGGGAGAGAGATTGGGGGCGGGGAAAGTCTGATGAAGCGGCCGGGCTGGGCCAGGCTGGGCTGGGCTGACCCCTCCCCAGAGAGGGGCGGGAACCCAGGAGGAGCAAGGGAGCAGGGACGCTGGAGAGGACCAGACACTGAAGAGGCGATATGGCAGGAACCAGCCTCGGAGCCCGCTTCTACCGGCAGATCAAGAGACATCCCGGGGTGAGTTTGGTCCCAGGAACCATGATTCTACCTTCTAACTCTCTAGCTGCCCTGGCAACCCCCAAATCTCCCAGTACCCTGCCTCTTGTCTAGTTCCCCTAAAGCTCCCAATATTTCTTCAGGGTGCCCTCAATCCATCCCTGCAATATTCCCTCCGTGTCCCTTGAATCCACCTCAGACAGACTCGCAATAGGTTGAGGGAGACTACGGCAAAAATGTGGTGTGGGAGGCTGCCGGTCCTCCCTCGCGGAAGGGAGGGGGCGCCAGACCTGGAGTGGGGGAGCGGGCGGACCAAGCAGAAAAGCTTGTAAAGAGCGATTGGGAGGGGGCTGCCCCTGAAAGTTCCCTCTGTCTTCCCGCAGCTCATCCCGATGATCGGCTTCATTGGCCTGGGCATGGGCAGCGCTACGCTCTACTTGCTGCGACTCGCGCTGCGCAGCCCCGACGTCTGGTAAAGGCCGGGCTTGGGACGCAGGAAGGGGTCCTGGGTGGGGCAAGATGAGACAGGAACGCACAGGCCTCCCAGGAATGGTGGGAATGAGGGGTCCTCGCGGGAATCCCTAGGCAAGTGGTATCTCGGGGCTGGAGCCCGCTCCTGACCTGCGAGGCCCCCGCCTTCGCTCGGGCCCACCAGACAGCTCACTCCTCAGTGGCTGGCGACTCGGCCCGCTTTGGGCTGCGGAACTAGCACCGCTCCCGGCCGCGTTGCCATGGTGACGCCGCTCTGCTGGCCGCCGGTGGCCTTCTGGTACCTCTGTCTCGCCGCCCAAGCGCTGGGGGTGTGGCCGGGTGAGCTGCTGGGGGCGCCTTTGGGGGCCGGGGCGGCGCGGAGACCGCAAGCCCCGCCAGAGGCGGCGGGAGTGTAGGGTCCTTCAGCACGCAGGAGCACCCACGGCGTTGTCTGAATTCGAGGCACATCACTACAACCCCAGCGCCTCGGGATTTCTGCCTGATTCCCACCGCTCTGCTCTATGGGGCTAACCTGGGGTGACAAGGAGCAGGCGGGAGTCCCTGGGCCGGGTTGTCACGTCTGTCACCTGGCCCCAGGCTGACAATGCTGACAGCCTTCTTGTCTCACTTGTCAGCACCCGCTAACGTGACCCCTCCCCTCTCAGTCTCTGGGAAATGCCCCCCACCTCCGCGGAAGAGGGGACGTGCTGGGGCAGGGGCGCAGACCCTGCGGGTGCCCTGAGGCTCCAGAGTCCTAGCTCCCAAAGAGGAAACCCTAACCCTCCCCCTCCCTCTCCACAGCTGGGACCGAAAGAACAACCCGGAGCCCTGGAACCGCCTGAGCCCCAATGACCAGTACAAGGTAACTCCCAGTGGCGTCAGGGTTGCGCCTCCATCCGCTCATCTCCTGATCCCAGCTGAGGCCTCCCACCCCAGCAAAGGGAGGCCTGGGGCACTCTGTGCAACCCTCCTTTCTCTCCTGTAGTTCCTTGCAGTTTCCACTGACTATAAGAAACTGAAGAAAGACCGGCCAGACTTCTAAGCCTGGCTGCAGAGCACGTCGATGTAAACCACCACCAGCCAGCCTACTCATTTCTTCCGCTCCCCACCGTCCACCCCAGGGCACCACTCTAGCCACCCTGTCCAGCTCCTGCTTACACAGGACAGTTCCCACGAGGAGGGGAGGCAGCTCCACCTCCACCCTCTTCCCTTGCTTCCAGCAGCGGAAGCACCTCTGACCCTCAGCTTCAGTCCCACGAGGGGGGAGGGAAGGGGGAGTTAGGAGGGCAGGCAGTAGCCTGGGCAACCCAAAAGGCCCATGCCAGCCCCCCTGCCCCGTGGGCCTCACAGGGTGTGGTGCACACTTCGTGTGGAGCGTGGCCTACGTGAGAGCCAAGACCAAGCAGAGGCCTGAGCGCCAAGTGACGTGGCGGGCCCCACGTTAGCCCAGGCTCTGGGCACCAGCCCAGGGGCGGTGCTACTTCGGCTCGACTGGGCTCGACCAGGCTGTCACTGACAGCCCAGCCAGCCTGTGATGAGGCACCTACGCCCAAGGAGGTGAAGCTCGCTCCTCCCAGTGCCCAAGCCCCCTGCTTCCCGTGCCAATGGGCACCCCCTCCCGCCTCACACCTGGGCCTCCCCTGCCTTCCCCACCCCTCCCTGCTCCCCTCGGTCCCCTGGGATCAAACAGAAGCAGCCGTGGGCAAAATACAATTTCATTTAACAAATTGAATTTGCTGCGCCTGCTAATCACGTCTGGTGTCGGCTCTGATCAGAGGGAGAGGAGACTGCAGCCCCAGGGGTCCTTGTGGTAGTGGTGTGAGGGAAGGGAGGGACATGCTGAGGGAGACGAATCACCACTTGGCCCAGGGGACCCCCTCCCACAGTAACAGAAGCTCAGGGCAGGTCAGCATTTTATTAGATAAAAATGAAAGAAGGGTGCCTACCCACTCCTTCCTCTGGCTCACAAGGGCAACTCCCCCCTCCCCAAGAGAGGGCAGGGAGTCTATAACACTGAGATAATGAGAGAGATTAGGGCGGAAAGCCCCAAGCCTCTTCCTTCTAAGTCTTGTTACAAGAAGAAACCTCCTCAGCTACAAATCCTGGGAAGGGGAACTATACCCGCCTTTTCCCTTAAGTGGGCGGCCTTCCCCTCCTCCAGCAAAAAATTGGAAGATAGGCAGTTACCCCCACCCCTAACTTGTCCAGGTAGGGGGAAGAGGAATAAACGTCAGTCTGTGCGCTTCATTTCTTAGGTGCCTTCAGTGCTCATCAAAACCAGGCATGGGGAAGGCCTTGGCAAACTGCTCCACCCGTTGCCTGAGGGCAGCCAGCCGATGACTTGTTTCTGGGTCTTTGAGCAGGAAGGATTTGAAATCCTGGAGTTTGGCTAGAGATGGCGGAGAAAAAAAAAGTGGTCAGAGCTCTGGGGAAGGCCATTCGATCAGTTGAAGGAGGGGGGAGACAGTGAATGTAAACTGGGTGGGGGCAGGGGAGGTCTTGCCCACTCACCGGTCTTGCTCTTCACCTCCAAGCCGATGTTGACGCCTTCATCTATAAAGCCCACAACTTTCCGGAAGTCATCCTCACGGAACTGTCGAGAAGTCAAGGCTGGGGCCCCTGGGAGAGAGGCAGGAGAGGATTAGCATGGCCCAAGCCCACCTGGCAGCCACCCTTCCCTCCTGGAACCCAGGTCTCACCCAGCCGCAGGCCCCCAGGTGTGATGGCACTTCGATCTCCAGGACAGGTGTTCTTGTTGGCCGTGATGGATACGAGTTCCAACACTCGTTCAGCTCGAGCTCCATCCAGGCCCTTGGGCCGCAGATCTACCAGCACTAGGTGGTTGTCAGTGCCACCTGAGGGGGGACAGTAAGCAGGAAGTACTGAGTCCTGGGCCTCTGCCTGAGGGTACAGAGGCTTTCACCTACCCCCTGGCTCACCAGACACCAGCGAGTAGCCTCGCTCTAGCAGGGCATCAGCCATGGCCCGAGCGTTCTTCAGAACCTGCAGGGAGTACTCCCGGAACATGGGGGTGCAGGCCTGGAGATGAGACAGCAGCACTGTCAACTTAAGCCCTGCCCCTTCTGCCCCTCCGCCCCCAGCATGGTGTGACCCCATCCCAACCCCCTCCCATCCTGGCACCTCCCTTCCATCAGCTCCAACTTCAGTTGGCAAGGTGCAGGGTCTGAACCTGTAGGCCATGCCCCACCCACCCCACAAGAGTAGGCTCCCCAACCTGCTTTAGGGCTACAGCCACCGCAGCAATGGCATGGTTGTGGGGTCCCCCCTGCAGGGATGGGAACACGGCAAAGTTGATTCGGTCCTCAAACGTGTAAGGGATCTCCCGGCCCGTCTTGGGGTCCACAGCCCGCACCCCCTTCCGGTAGAAGATGAGTCCTGACCTGTGCAGGAGGTAGGCGGTCAGAAGCTAAGCCAAAAAGAAAGGGCAAGGGGGTGGGGAGAACAGAGAAAGCTGGCTGGCCCAGCCCCGCAGGCTCTAGAGTCCAGCACAGTTGTGCTCCGTGTGCTAGACTCCAGGGGCTGAGGGGAGCAGCCCTCACCTCCACCCCCAAACCCCCTGCCGGGGAACTGCCTCCACGGGCAAGAGAAGAACTGTCATAGACAGGGCTTCTGGTGGGAATGAATTCCTCAGATCCAGCCCAACAACGCCCCAGGAGTGAAGGCAGTGAGAGGCAAGGCCTGACCTGGCCCCTCGAAGGGTCTTGTGAGTGGTGGTGGTGACAACATCCGCATGCTCGAAAGGTGAGGGGATCACCTTGGCAGCCACCAGGCCACTGATGTGGGCCATGTCCGCCAGCAGGTGTGCCTTGACCTCATCACACACCTGGGCAGGTAGAGAGACAGGCCTCAGCCTGGGGAGGGCGCAGACAGGCCTGCCCAAGGCTGCCCCTCCTCCAAAATCTCCCCACCAGCCCTTAGGGAGGGGCGGGTACTCCAGCCCTCCACTCACCTCTCGCATGCGGGCATAGTCAATGAGGCGAGCATAGGCACTGGTACCAGCTATGATGAGTCGAGGTCGGAAGGGCCGAGCAGTGAATGCCAGCC